ATCCATCCAAATGATACTTTATTTAATGGACGTAGAGACAAAATTACCAGCCACGAGACAACCATATTGTTTCCTCGATTCCAAGTAGCATGTTCAGGCTTGTCTTTTTCAGGTGAAAGAACATTACCAAGAACAAATTCAATTTTGTTTTTGGCGCTGAGAGTAGTGAACATCGAGTGGCTCCGAGAATGATAATTTGTATCATCAATAACAAATGAAACAAGAGAAATTGCTAGATTTTTGCTGGGGTGAAGATAAAGATGATTGTGAACAAAACTTTCTTCTACCATGAAAAACAAGAACAAAAGAAAAGAAACAAACTAGAGAAAGAAACAAAAGAATAGAGAAAACAGAGTTATGTGCAGAAGAGTTCTTCAAAAGAAAAGCTATGATACCAACACAATTATAGATGTAATTCAGAAAGTTAAGAACATTTACAAAACTAATAGCAATGAAGTATCTGAAAAACACTAGAAGGAAGCGGGTGGGGGTTGAAGTGTTAATGGAAAACTTTTGCAACCCTTTTTATATAGAACATTGTCGAGTTCTCAAAATTTTCCTTTAAAAGCTTAGACGCTCGACTTGATAAAAATGTACGAATGAAAGTAATTTTTGACGTGTTATTCAGAATATATATTGCAGCGTTTTGTAAGAACTTCCCTTAAAAAAATGATCGTTTAGCTTGGAAGGTTGTTGTATTTAGAAAATGAGGCACAAGTGCAGGTTTTTGTAAGAGGATCATTTAGACAAAAGAATAGATAATTGCACGATTGATTTTCTACTGGTTCGTTCTAACTGTGCTACGTCCAATCTCCTCCGTAGAGGGTTGCACTATAATCTTCACACGATTACAAATGAGTATTAGCACCACTCCTGGTACTCAACTACCCTAACCGATATTTCCTTTGAGTTTTCGCACCACTCTTGGTACTCAACAACTCTACCGAGATTTCCTTTGAGTATTAGCACCACTTCTGATACTCAACAACCCTAGCCGAAATCTCCTTGAGTATTCGAACCACTCTTGGTACTTAAAAACCTTGCTAAGATTCTTCAACTCAAACTGACTTTAGTTGTAAGTGTAGAAATGGATATGCCTTATTTCCCAACCAAGAGGAGGGGTGAATTGGTTTTGTATAAAAAATTGTTATTTTCATAACCTTTGGAAAATCTTTAACCTTTTCTTGAAACACAAGCAAATAAAGATTGTAAAGCAGTAAAAGAGATAAGAGATTGAAAGACAAACACCGAGATTTTTATATTGGTTTGGCCTTAATGCCTATATTCAGTCCCTTTCAATAAACCTGAGATTGACTTATACAACAAGATTAACATATACTCTCTCTCAATGCAATCTCCTCTCCAACTCCAAATCTAATATAGAAGAATACAACATAAAAAGAACAATCCTCTTTCTGCAGAAACCCTTTGAGACACCTCTCAAAGAAACCAGAACCTCACGTTCTCTTCCTGGCCACCGGCAACAGGGAAACCACAATCCACAGATTGCAAAATCAACACTGATCTGATTCAGAACACCTCAGAGTGTGGATGATGATTAGCAAACGAAAGCACACAACAATTGCTTCAAGAATCCTTTGAATCTTCCAAACTAAATGCTTCTTGATTCTTGGAGAATAAGCACCCCTGCAAAATCTTATCTCAACTCACTTTGTCAGATATTAAAGATGAAAGATCAAAAGTTCTTTATGTAGAGAGCTATGCGTCAATATATAGTTTTCTCAAGTCTTACGCATCTTAATCGATTACAATATTAATGTAATCGATTAAGCAATTAACACTTCTATACCGAAATTACATTAAAAGATATTTAACAGATTGCACATTTAATGTAATCGATTTCACAATCAATGTAAGTCAAAACAATTTAAAATATGACTGTTATGTTAGTTAAGATTTATCATGAAAACAGTTTCCAGTGTGCACAAGATTTAACCGATTAAGAAAATCGTGTAATCAGTTAAGTATAACACTTAACCAATTTTGAAAAATTTCTCGTTTGAAAACACGTCACTGCACTCTGCAATGAGGTGTAACCAAATACACTAGTTTTAATCGATTATACATATAATGTAATTGGTTAAAACTTGCAATTTGCCACAATTAAGCATATGTTGATATATGATGAATCTAACTTATTATATAACCACTGTAATCGATTAACTCACACGGATATGCTTTGTGCAAAGAGTTTTATCATTCAAAATTATGAATATGCATACCATAGATATAAACTCATGTATAACCACAGTAAGTATGCAAATCAAATAGTTCAAGCACAAACCAACATATAACACAAATTTGCATATGAAAACATTTTTGTTGTTATGCAAGTAACTTATTGAAACATTTCTGTTGTTGTGCAAGTAACTTATTGAAACATTTATGTTGTTGTGCAAGTAACTTGTTGAAACATTTATGTTGTTGTCATCATCAAAAACACATAAGGGTTTGGGTTTAGCTTTTACATAGCTCCCCTTATCAATAGTAAGTATTTTAATTATCTTCATAATTGCAATCAACGATTGCTTACAAGTAGTTCAGACTATATCTCTCGCAGAGAGGATTTGATTACAATAAAAAGCAGTCTAAACACTCAAAGATATTTCTCTCCTTTCTCTTACAATAGTAAGCAATACAACAATGAAGTTTGAGGGGATTTCTATTATTTTTTTCTATTCTCTTCTCAACTTAGATGTATTCTTTTTCTTGAGCTCTATGCTTTCTTCTTTTATCTTGGATGCTTGTAGGATGGATGTTTCGGTGTAAGCTTCTCACTTGAATGTCCTCTTAAGTTATCCTCTTGATTTTCTTTTCGAAAGCTCTTATATTTAAAGTCTTCGCGAATATTTGTTCGTTAGACTGAGCTTTTAGCCTTGATACTCGTGCTTTCTCTTTCTTTTTCGTACAACAGCCGTTAGGTAAATCAACTTGTCAGAGTAGACATGCTTTTTCAGTACTTGGTTGAAGTAGGTTGTACGTTCCTTTTAGGTATGGCTTCAAAAGAAGAACATTTTGTGAATATTTCCTTTGTCTCTAACGTTCACTTTTGATAATTGATTTATAGCTTTGTGGATGCATGTAAAATAGCTTATCTGCAAAGAGTAAGTAAATTGTGCATGCAACATATATGCCACTTTTTGTTGTTTTTGAACGTTGAGCATTTAATGTTATTTAATGTTTGCTCAAAACAACAAAGTGTTTTTTGATTTGCTAACGCTAGATAACTTTTTGCAATTAATCTCTTTTCTAAAGATACCAAATATTGTATAGAGACTTCATCGTTGGACGAAGTATTGTTTGAAAAAAGTTTCTAAGGTGAAATCATTGATGGTTGTTTCAAGTAGAGTAATGCATTGATGTAGGAACTCGACCTTGGGGGTTATCTTGGTGTTTCAATAATCACTCCATCTCAGTAGAGAAGGGGATTATGTACTTAAGAGTAGTAGGAGATCCTAGTCTATGTTTGATGTCCTTAGCCATAGGTGGTAGACATACTAATCTTGTGTGGTAGCTTGTGGGGCCAACTGTTCCACCACTACAAGTGTACAACTTGCCATAGTTTGACATCAATACATATATTCGGATTTGGTCAAGTCAAGATATTATCTGTATGCTTAGGTTTGTTTTGGTTTGAAAGTGAATTGTGTTATACAATGTTTTATAATTGCATTATTTGATTCTTTTATAATATTAGCTTATCCTTTTGTCTTTGTCTGTTTGTGCGTGCTTGTTTTCTCTTTTGCATTGATCACCTTAAATTGTGTGAGCTTATTGGATGTTCTTCTAGTTAATCTAGTGCAGACTGTAGGTGAACTAGTAACATACTTAGGTTTTGGTTAATCTGGTGTAAACCTTCCCATTAAAAAATCTCTAGATTTTCAAATTAATTATCATCCTTGTAACATTTTATTTAGTAGATTTACATTATTTAAATAAGAGGTTACAAAGTTTAAAAATATTTAAAATCTCTACATTATTTAAGAGTTTTTTTTTTCTGAAAGGTTAAATAATATAGCACAAAATTATATTAATTATAACAAAATTTTCATTCTCATTATAGATATCACATAAATAATTTAACATGATAACTTATATGTTTTTATATATAAATTATAATTTTCAAGATGTTGACTATACTAATGATACTAATTAGAGTACAAAATCAACTTATTATATTGAAGATCATGATCGTTACTTTTGTAAAACTTATTGTTCTGGTCACAGAGACAATCTTTGTCAAGATAAAAAACTTTAAAAAAATAAAAAATCTTTAGAAAAATATAATTTTAAATAAAAGGAAATTATTTATATAATTTAAACCTTTTATTATTAAAATACTATAATATTGTCTATATTTTTTTATAAAAATCACCATTCCACTTAAATTATTTTATAGATTCTCACAATTTAAAAAAGAAAAAGAAAATTCTCATACCAAGATTACTTTTACTTCACATCAAGTAGTACTGACTTCATCTTTATTTTTACCATTTTAACAAAAATAAGTGAATCATTCACTCAAAAATTGTTTTCTGGGTGTATAGTTAATTGGTAGGAACAAACTAGTGGTATGAGAAAGAACTTCTATCATGCATGACACATATTTATTAAAAATCTGAACATTTTCTAACATAATAAATAATAAAATAACTTAAACGTCAGTTGAGAACTTATACAATATTTTTTTTTCTAAAGTTGGATACTCAATAAATTATAATTTTCATGTGATAAAGTTTTTTTTTTATAATTAAAATATTATACAATATCCACAACTTTATTTTACAAGTTTAAAAAAAAATTAAAACTCTTATAGTATTTAAGATTTTGTTTTCTGAAAATTTATAAAACATAATAGATAATTATATTATATATAATTTAAATATAAGAAATATTTGATATCACATAAATAATTTAACATAATAACTTATATATTTTTATATTTAAATTATAATTTTCAAGATGTGATAAAGTTTTTTTTTATGATTATGTGTGCACATAAGAATGGTGGATTATCTTATCACAGAAGCAAGGAATGGTGGAAAATCTTATCTCTTGGAAGTAACACAGAATTATGTATTTAATATTGGGGGGTGCAACTAAGTTTCTATTTAATGGTTGTGCCAGTAACCCTAAAACCGTCCAAGTTTCTCACAGTAACCCTAACTCTCTTTCTGTTATCTCCGCCTCCTTTCTTTTTTTTTCTTTTTTCCTTCGTTCCTTCAAGTGAGTTTGGTAAAGAGATTTTTGAAGATGAATGTATGTTCTCCATTCATGTTTTCGTGGCTTTTGAAATAGTAAAACTGTAGGTTTCTGTTATCTTCTTGTTTAATGATTATCTCTGTTCCATTGACTATGAAAACAGGTTTGAAAGATCAAGCAAACTGAGAAACCAGTTCAGTTAAAGCTGTATTCTTAATTGGTGAGCTTTCTATTCATGTTGCTGTATTTGATTTCAGTTTTAGAATTCTCAACTAGTTTTTTTTTTCTTTTTTTTTACATCTTTTTCTCATTATTATGTTTACCATCTTTTACCTAATAAAGACAGCAATTGTTTTAAAGTTTGCTCAGAACAAATATCTTCTGTTCAATAATATTATATATATGTGGAGATGAAGGTATACTTTATCAATATAAAATGTTCTCATTGTAGAATGGGAATGCATGATTTTATTGTTCTTCCTTTGTTCATTATATATTATATAGTTAAATAATAAGGAATTAGTATATTTGTGTCAAGTTAGTGTAGGCATGATATTTTAAAGAAATTTATGACATGATTTCATTTTAAGATGTGTCAAAATTTTATATGCGTGGCGTGATTTCAATATTTAATCTTCGTTCCATATGTTTATACACTAACCTTAGGAATGTAAGATTTGTGACACATAATTAAAAAAATATAATAATTGTATATTTTTTATTTATTGTATATCTAACTAGTTAATTTAACATTTAATTTATTAAATAATATCTTTATTTTTATGCACTTACTACTATTGTTTGGGAAATGAGTAAGTTGGATAGACATGTGAACAAATATTTTTATATAATAATGTGTAATTTAAATTCAGAAAATAAGACATTATTTTTATTTTTTTTCATGTGATTTTACCCTTCATTTTAATAAGAAATTGAAAATAACATTATCCATAAATAAAAAAAGGAGTTATGTTTGTAGGAAGAAATTGAGATGAGCACCTATTAATACACTATATTTGTTATTATGTAAAAAAATTTGATTTTAAATCTATTGTGAAAGTGTTTATTGTTTAGAAGACTTCAGAAGTATTAAAATTAAAAAGTATCAATTATTGACTTTCTTATCAGTTAGTATGAAAAAAATATTATTTTTCTATCTGTTATATATTTCAAAATATGTTTCTAATTGTGCATTATAAGTTAATAATGATAAGAACTATTTATTTCATTTTATAATAAGTTTTTTTATGAGATGGTATTATTATTGGTGGTTTATGGTCTTTTTTTCTTATGTGATATCTTATAGAATTGGTTATGAAAGGTTAAATTTCATATTATATTAGAATATTGACTTTAATCTTAAATGACTTGAAATAAAAGTGAGTTATCTCTTGCAACTTTTGTTTGAAGTTTGGTGGGATATTAATTTTTTTTGAAATACTTTAATTAATTATGTTTTTTGTATGGATGATTTTGGTAGGGTTTCATCATTTCCAACTAGAAATGATACTAGTCGAAATATATAGGAGATTTAATTATGATATCATATCTTATATTATTAAATGATTTTCTTTGAATTGATTTCAAGAAGGTAAAATAGATATTTTAAGTTAGATTTTTCTTTAGATTTTACTAATATTAAGTGATGCCTTCTTGAAATCAAAGAAAAATTATTTAAAATATATTGCATATTAAATCTTTCAAATGTTTCATTCATGAATTAGTTTTATTTCTAGTAGTTATGGATGAAGATCTATACCAAAGTCTTTTATATAAAAATTTCAATTCAAGTATGTAAAAAGTATTTCACCCACAAAACTTCAAACAAAGTTGTAAATTTTAACTTTCTTTTTATCGAATTGTTTAGGATTAAAACCAATAGTTTTGTATGAAATTCAATCAGCAAGGAGTTATGTCTATGCAATGCATACTTTATTTACTAACTAATTCTTCTAAAATGACTTCAACTTATTACTTCAAATTCTTGCAAGATATAACAAAAATCTTTTCATAAATTAAAATCAAATATATTTTTTATTTATTATCATATAGTGAATTTTGACAATTGAACAAGATATTTTTAAAAAGTGATAAACCAAAAAATAATATTGCTTTTTCATACTAATTGATATAAAACATCTATGTCATTCATATTATTTTATTTTAATGTTTCTGAAGTCTTCTTAGCAACAAGTGTTTTCACAATAGACTTAAAACTATTTTTTGGTATAATGTACAATAGTAGGTTCTCATCTCAATTTCTAACGGTCAAAATGAATTCATGGATAAAATATTACTATATCAAAAGAAAATTACAAAACATGAAATATAATCATTCTCATTAACAAATATAAAAGATGAAAATTCTCCAGAATTACTTTAAGTAAATATTTTCTTCTGACAATAAAAAAACCAGAATAAGGTGCTTAAAAAAGTGGGATAAATAAATTTTAAGAATTATCTTCTTACAGAACTATGCATTCACCACACAAAATTTTAAAAAAAAAATTAAAATTCTTACTCTATTTAAGATTTTTTTTTCTGAAAATTTATAAAATAGAATAGATAATTATATTATATATAATTTAAATATAAAAAGATTTTCATTTATTCGTATAAATGATTTAACATAATAACTCATATGTTTTTATATTAAAGTCAAAATTTTCAAGACGTGATAAAGTTATTTTTTTTACAGAAGTATTATGTATTTAATGTTGGATGGTACAAGGAAGTTTCTACTTAAGTTCTCACACTAATCCTAAAATCCTGGATGTGATGATTGCTGTATTTGATTTCAGTTTAGAAGTTGTCAACTAGTTTTATTTATTTATTTTAATTATTTATTTGACATCTTCTTCTCGTTATTATGTTTACCATTTTTTACCTAATGCAGAATTTTTAACCCTTTGACATCATGAAACAAACAAGTAGGGATTTCTCTCCCTATCTCATTCTAATATCATTTTTCTAATTTATTATTTTAGAAAACACTATGAAATTGTAAAAAATAAATAAAAAATATATTTCTGTTCATAATGTTTATTTTTTTGTTAGTTACTGTAAGAATGAATAATTGTTTTAATTATTTTTAGTTACTGTAAGAATGAATAATTCTAGTGAAAAACAATAGGATTTGGGCTTGCTATGTAGGAATAAAACAGAAAAAGTTTTAAAGATTTCTCAGAACAAATATCTTCTGTTTGGTGGAGAAAAAAAATTACTATATATGTAATTAATTTGTTTTATTATATATATAAATTGTAAGAAATACTTAAGAATAAAATAAATATTTTCTCGCCCAAGATGATCATGTTAAATATGGTACCGAATCTAATTGAGTAGCAATCAGATTAATTATATTATTTAATGAAGGATGTACTGAAAGAATTAGTTTTAGGTTTATAATAAAACTAAAAGTCATAAAAAACTAAGGAAAGAAATATATTTTCTTTGCTAAAAAAGAACAAAAAGATATTTTATTAATTATTTATGTAAAGCTAACTAGTTATAATTTAACATATATTAGATTTAAGTTACAATTATGAAATATAAAAAATATTATACCGTTTTTCTATTAGCTCTTGAAAAATGTTTCATATTATTAGACATTACTAAATACTTCTATACATGTATTAATATATTAATTACTAGTTTATTATTAAACTAACAGAGTCACCTAGTGTTGTTCTTCAGAAAATAAATTAATTCTATTATTTGAATATTATTAAATTAATTGATTATTTTATTAGGTAAAATATTAGTATGTTATTTACTGATATTAAAAAATAAAAAATAATTCAAAGTAAAAAGATTAGAAAATGGCTTGGTAATTTGAAATTGAGAAAAACAAGTTTATTACTATATTTTTTTCTGGTATTGAAGATATGAAAATGGTTTGTAATTTTATGAAGTGAAAATCAATCTCACATCCTTTATCGAATTGAAACAATTCTGTGTTCCAATTTTGAAGATTTTATATTGACAATGAAAGAATTATTTGTATTGACAATAAAATTAAACATAAAATTTTACAATTAATTTATTTTTTTAAATATTGTTAGTGGTTGTAGGATTCTTCTGAAATGACTGATATAAGAGTTGGTCTTTTTGATAAAATAATTTTACAAAATCATTTTCTTTTTGACACAATTTAGTTTTTCATTTTATAAGTCTACTTGTACAGCAATAAAAATGTTTTTGTTTTCCTGCTGTTGTTGGAGGGTTATAATGTCACAAGGTTTCTCACATATGCACATAGCTTCAAGGTTAGTATATTGCCATATCTAATCTAGAGTTTATTTATGACATAATATTACTTGTAAGATGTTCAATGTAGTGTATTATAGTTCAATGTAGTGCACAAATTTAGTAATAGTTCTTTATGTGTTTTAAGATAAATCAAAAGTAACATTATCTCAATTTATTTTAATATTTTCTATATTTTAGTTAATACATTCATTGGAAAGTAATGTATTGTAAATATTAATGAAATATTAGTTTTGTTGAATTTCTTGTAATATTCTTTTAATAATATAATTTACTTTTAGAAATATGACGGGTTATTTATAGAAGTTGTTTATAATAAGATCTTTTTAATTATTGTCCCTATATCTAGAACAGTATGTTAATTGTTAAACAGTAGTTTCATGTTTTTACCATTAGATTGTTTTATTCTGACACTAAAAGGTAGGTATACTTTTTTAATATGAAATGTTTTCATCGTAGAATGGGAATGCATGATTTTATTGTTATTCCCTTGTGCATTATATATTAAGTAATTAAATAATGAGGAATATAATATATTTGTGTTAGGTTAGTATATTTGTGTTAGGTTAGTGTAGGCATGATATTTTAAAGAAATTTATGATATGATGTCATTGCATAAGATGTGTCAATTTTATAAGTGTGGCATGATATTTAATCTTCATTCCAATTGTTTATACACTAATCATAGGAATGTAGGATTTGTTAGACATTATTTTTATTTTTTTTCATGTTGTTTTATCCTCCATTTTAATATTTTTAGAGTTAAATTAAACATGAAAATAACATTTTAATAATTAGTGTTCTGCGATATTGTATCCATAAATTAAAAAGGAGTTATGTTTGTAAAAAGAAATTGAGATGAACACCTATTAATACACTATATTGGTATTATGTAAAAGAATTTGATTTTAAATCTATTGTGAAAGTGTTTACACTTTAGAAGGTTTTAGAAGCTTTAAAATTAAATAATATCAATTATTGACTTTCTTTATCGGTTATTATGGAAAAAAATATTTTTTTTTATCTATTATATATTTCAAAATATATTTTTTAATTATACAAGTTAATAATGATAAGAATGAAAATGTGTTTATATTTTAAATCTTTCGTTATATCTCATAGAAGTTTGAAGTAGAAAGTTAAAATGGTTTTAAAACAATTGGTTATGAACAAAACACCTTAGTGGTTAAATTTGATATTATATTAGACTATTGACTTTGATCCTAAATAATTTGAAATAAAAGTGAACTATCTCTTCAAATTATTTTTTTGAAGTTGTGAGATATTAATTTTTTTTTGAGATACTTTAATTAATGTTTTTCTATGGATGATTTTGATGTGAGTTTTCATCATTACCAACTAGAAATAAAGTAATTCATAGTTAAAATATACATGGATTTTAATTATGGAATCGTATCATATATTATTAAATGATTTTTTTGAATTGATTTCAAGAAGGTAATAATGAATACTTTAAGTTAGACTTTTCTTTGGATTTTAATAAAATTAAGTGATGCTAAAGAAAAATCATTTAGCATTGTATAATTACATCCTCCAAATGTTTCATCCATGAATTAGTTTTATTCCTCCTAGTTATGGACGAAGATTTATATCAAAGTCTTTTATATGAAATTTTCAATTCAAGTACTTCATAAGAAGGTATTCACTCATTAAACTTTAAACAAAGTTGTAAAGTATAATTCTCTTTTTTTCGAATTGTTTAAGATTAAAACTAATAGTCTAGTATGAAATTCAATCAACAAGGAGTTATGTCCATGCATACTTTGTTTACTAACTAATTCTTTTCAAATGACTTCAGGTTATTACTTCAAAATCTTGCAAGATATAACAAAAAACTTATCATAAATTGAAATCAAACACATTTTATGTTTATTATCGTCAACTTATCATGAATTTTCACAATTAAACAAGACATTTTTGAAAAGTGATAGACAGAAAAATAACATTATTTTTTTTATACTAACTAATGATAAAACAATTGCCATTGATATTATCTAAATTTTAATGTTTCTGAAGCCTTCTTAGCAATCAAGTATTTTCACAATAGACTTAAAACTATTCCTTGATATAATATACAATAGGCTAGTAGGTTTTCACCCAATTTCTTTTACAAACATGATCAAAATGAGTTCATAGATACAATATTACCATATTAAAATACAAAAAGAAAATCATCTACAGGGACTACAAAAAAATGAAATATAATCCTTTTCATTAACAATTATAAAAAATGAAAATTCTCCAAAATTACCTTAAGTAAATATTCAACTTGTCCTCAGCTTTCTTCTTATGACAATAAAGAAACCTAAATTAGGTTTTTTAAAAAAGTGGAATAAATAAACTTTTGAGAATTATTTTCTAATAGAAAATTGCATTCAGCATGCTTTGATATCTTCTACGTTGTTTGAAAAGATAAGGAAACTACTTTAACCTTGTTAATCCTTTTATTCCTTTGTTTTCTCTTCCCTTTCTTTTGTAATGTTATAGCTGGAACATCTGATGATATTGTGAAACCAAAACGTAATGATGTAAACGACAGCAAATCAGTTCTTTGTAATGATGTCTCAGATGATGGTGGTTGTTCAGAAAAATAGAGGTATAGAGATAAACGATGAATTTAGGAAGTTGATTTTAGCATGGATGTCATTAAGTGGAAATGACTAATTGGATTACGTGATTCCAATCTTATGTTTGACAGGTTGCTATAACTCTTATATATGTTGGCCTCAAGTATTCTAATATTAATAAATATATAAGTTATCTTGTTTATATAATTTATTTATAGTAAAATTTTAATTGATTAATTTTTTTATTGTAGTATTTTTTTAGTTGCAAAAGCTAATAATATTTTGACAATCAAATTATTGAGGTTAGAAAATATTGGTGTTTTTATTCATTAGTAAATGTTTATTATATGTTATGATATTGTCTTATAAAATTATTTTGCTTATGATGATTTGAATTTATTTTTATGCTTATATATTGTTTTATAAAATTACACTGGATTCTAATCATGAGTGAGATTAGCAATGAAGTCATGATACACATTGATTTGAGTTGTTTAAACTACATTTTTTATGAAATTACACTGTCTAGAAAGCTATGTCTAACTACTAACATGTTAAAAAGTGTTAACTAGTTATCGAACGCCATTAACAAATTAAAAAAAAAACATTATCTATAACTATGACAATAGATAGAGTTTTTCCAAAAAAACGCTATCTATTGGTCTTTTATATTTTTTTTAATTTAGAATTTTAAATAGAGCAATAGATAGCGTTGTTTTTAAAAGCATTATCTATTGAAACACAATAGAAAGCGTCTTTTTTAAAAAGCGATATCTTTTAAAACACAATAGATAACTCTTCTTAAGATAAGTGTTATTTCTTTGTCTTAAAAAAGTTTTGATAACAGTTTTTGCTTCCTGATTTTCCTTTGTTGCTTGACTTTGGCTTTGCTCTTTCGTTCAAATTCATTCAGCCTCTCTTTTCATCACCAGTGCTTTTGCATTGCTTCAAGTTGTAGTTGGTTGTGTCATTGCTTGTAACACTTTTAGAACTCTGTTTGTGTACTACGTGTAGGATTCCGTTCGTGCACTAGGTTTGGGATTTGATTCAAACTCGCGTCGTTGCCGGGGTAAACCGAGAACGACACTCCTCTGGCGAGTCTTCTCCCTTCGCATTCCACCAACAATTTAGTCTTTAATATATTTATACTTTGGATGTTGGCCTTGATGGATTGTTAAACATTAGGTTGTTGATGTACCTCATCTTTTCTTATTTGCTTGATTTTAAATTCGTTGCTGCGAACCCTAGGGTTTGCCGATTGTTTTCCAGCGAAGCCTCGAAGAAAAAGGGTGAGTCTTACTGGACATGAAGTGAGTCATCTGGTTTAAACACAATTCTCAATACATTACATGCACAATCTCAATAATATGCATTTCTCATCAATCATAAAATTTATAACACCTTTCTCACTACCTTTCATGCATAGTCTCAATACTATACATTAACTCACCAATAAAAAATTCATTATTTAACTAGATACTACCCACAAATATTTCACGTTAACCCATATCAATGCAAAAACCCTTTTAAAACCATTTCTACATCTAAAATTCTCCACGCACAAAATTTATGTTTTATCACTAAGGCTCACTCTCATAGATACATTGCAATTCAAAATGAAAACTATTATATAATTTTGGTTAAACCACTTTCGCAGTGCCTATTTATGTTGGATTTTCCCAGTTAGATCCTTTTTCTTAATTTTTTTCCCAATTGAGTCCTTCAAAGTGAAAAATTGACTCAATTGGCTTCCTACCGTTAAATTGGGTTAACGTGGTTAAGTTTTTTATGACTTAACAACTTAACTATTGAAAATAGAATGACTTAATTTCTCACTCCAAGAGGGGAGGTGAATTGGTGAAATGTAAAACCAATGCTTTCTTTAAATCTTTTTCGCAAAGTGGATGCCTTTAAAAGCTTTCTTGAAATGTAAGGAAAAAGATTTGTTTATGCAGTGAAAATTAAATCGATTGAATATAGTAAGAAGTTGACTGAATAAAAGAGTGTAGGGATAGAAAGATCAAGTGCTGAGTTTTTATACTGGTTCGACCAAGCATACATGCAGTGTTCTTCCAACCACAAGAAGCCAATGCACTATAATGATCAATGTTTTTACAACAAGTCTTTTATAGTGACCTCACGTCAAAAATATAAAACACATCTCTAACCCTCTAATCAAAATATAAACATATACAAACAGACTAGCAGTAGGAATCCCCCCTCTCCTATATTCCAAACCCTTTGAGCCACCCTCAAAGTCAAGAACGCAACACGCTCTTCTTCTTGTAATCACAACATGGAACCTCAATCCAATCTTTACAAGATTGTAGCCTCTGATCTCTCAGTTACACCTAATGTGCAGATATGATCAGCCTTTGTACGTGCAGTTAACTTGCTCTTCAAGAATCCACAAGTAGATGATCACCACGGTCACTTCTTGTTTCTTGGAGATCTTTCTCTCTTTTTCACTCAACCTTTCTTCTTTTCTCTCTATTTTTCTCTCATCTAAAACTTTGTCGCTTCTAGTGATAATAGCTTGACATTCCTCCCTAGGGTTAACTTTCATGTTACTCTCAAGATCATCCAGCTTCTGACTTATGTGACAAAGTTGCCTCCCTATCCTTATGAATGCTACTTGAGTGCTTTTATGATGAGAATCAGACATCTGCATTAAATATTGAAGTGTGTCATCCATCTTAGCCATTCTTTCTGAGAGAGAGGGTTGTAGCTGCCATTGGTTGTTGTGGCAGCCTATCAAATTGTTCGACAGCTTGCCCAAATTGACTTTGACCCATGTTTAAGTGAGGTTTTCCACCAGTGGTTGAAATTACCTTGGTGGAATTGAGTGTCCATATAGTTAACTTCTTGTCCAAATTGCATCCTACAAGCACTAGACACAAAACTTTAAAAACATTGTTAGCACAAAAACAAAAACAAACGACACAAAACAAAAATTAAAAATAGGATAAAAATAGAAAAATAAAAATAAAGTCAAAGTTAATCAAAATCACACAAATAGAATATTTAAATCGTGAGTCCCCGACAACGGCGCCAAAAACTTGTTGATGGATTGGCAATGTACCAATCGCACAGTAATAAAATGGTAGACCAAGTATCGTATCCAGAAGACTCTCCGGCACCCTTTAGACAGTTGTGTGAATATTTCGATTAATTAAGACTTTAAATAAAATGAGACATTGGTTTAGAATGCAAAAGACAGAAAATTTAAATATGATGCAGTTGATCATGCAAAGTAGCACAGCGAAACTAAACGGATATTAGTGGCTTACACAGTTACGATGAGATGAGTATAGTTCGTCTAGGGACGGTTAATTATCACCAAGTTCTCGTCATGATGTAATGTAATTCTTCTTTATGCATTAATGTCAACGTCACTCACTAAATCACCTAAACCCGATCCCTCGGCGAAATAGGCCTGTCCTTAATCACTAGTTCATGCAATTTGTAGCATTCCTAGCAATTAAATGTGAAGATCAAGAGCTTTAAGATGACCATGAGTCATACCCTCATCCCCGAGAAATATTACTCTTGGGAGAATTCAACAAGAACCTGAATTGTAAGGACCTCCCGACACTCATTGCAATTCATACATCATGAATAGTTAAACACAACATGTAATAAGCATAGATGAATTACTCTAACAATTAATGAAAAAACATATATTATTAAGAATCAATTCAAATACATGAGAGTTCACAAGGTTACATCATCCCCCAACAACAAATAGAGTTTAGTTCACCATAGACATGATGAAACTAGATGAATAATGGAAAAGCATGAGATAGCAACACCCTAAAAGTAGAGGATGGAAGCTTTTGCATCTAAATCCCCCTTTAGAGAGTGGAATAGTGTGTTGTTGTGCTGCTTCAGCCAGAGATACAAAACCTAGGACGTGCAAATCCTTAAATAGAACATAAAAATAAAAGAAAACAGGTCCAAGCCCACGAAACTGGCGCTCAAGCGCCCTAAATGGGGCGCCCGGGTGGTGTGCGGCACCGTTTGGCGCTTAAGCGCCCCTAGAAGGGCGCCCGGGCGGTGTGCGATGCACTTCTGGTGCTCAAGCGCCCCTGAGGGGCGCCCGGGCGTAGTGCGGGACGAAAATTCTGCACTCTGGTTGACTTTTCTGCATTCCCAACTATTTGGTACTTTAACTCTTCTTTCAAATCATTCCAATAGCCTACAAAATCAAGGGAATTTGTAATCAAATCATCAAGTATACCCTCAACTCTCTTATTCACAACTAAAGCAAAACATGATTGCCTAGCAAGTTCTAAGCATAACCAGGTGCATTTATGTATAATTTACATCAAGATAATGGTATTTTCAACCGTTATCATGAACATATTGCAAGAACACCGAAACACCCTCTTCGTATGGTGCTGGGGGGTGCACTGATGCGACGTTCATATATCCAGCTTCGATCTCATACTATGTCTAACTACTTCATCAGTTTCAATTTTTTAAACTCTCACAAGGTTAGGCCCTACCCATTCAGTAAAATTATTTTTCATAATTTTCGAATCACGTTCTCAAATAGAGTTCATAAACCTGTATAAATCCTTTGATAAAATGTCAACAACTTTCGTCCATTGGTTTCCATAATCACGAAAGTGAAGAGTGGTCCATGGATCCACATCAATATGTCATTCCGGATAACAACACAAATAATCTGAACCCGTAAAAGTTTTATTCAATTCTTGTATCCCTAAACTCCAAACGTACATGTTATGTATTATCATGGGCAAATTATGAACAATATCTTTCCCAAACGTTGTCCAGGCATCAGACATTCAAGCTTGTACCTAAAGAAACGATTAATAAGAAGTTAATCGTTGTGTTTAACTTGTTTCCAACGGGGAACTTAAGTTTTCTGACTCATGATTTTGATACTTATAACTCTAAATGTCAATCCATAATAACCACAAAACAACTTATCACATTGCATATTCAAACGCCAATAATCACACTGCGCATCCTAAAGGCCAATAACTGCATAGCACGAAAAGCCCATATATTCATGCATAAGACAAAAGGCCAATACATGCATACACAAAACCAATAACATGAATACACAACAAAGTTTTCAACAGTCACTAATTTCTTAGCAGATTAAAACGCAAATCGAGGGAAATGGAGGAGGGCACGTCCAAAACCAGGCCAAAAGGGTCGAAAACGCCGCCCAGAACACAACCAGAACTCTGCAAACCAAAATGCAACGAAACACATTTTAATCAGTTTTCAAATG